AATGCAGGCACAGGCTGTGATGCAACAGCAAAATAATCTATTTTACATTGTTTAGGGTTCTGGCTAATTAGTTATATCTGAGGATGGATAAGACATTTTCTTTCCTTTCAAGCTGGTGATAATAAAACTGGTCTAAAGGCAAGTCAGCTTAATTTAAAGCAAATCACATGGAAATTAAGCATGCAACTACAATGTCCTGGCTCTTGCCGGATGATGAGGAAGTTGAACTCAGTTTACACTTTCTGCCCAAAGCTTTAAGGTATGGTACATAAGCAAAGTAAAGATCAAATGCAAGACAGGTGCCATTATGCATGTCTAAGTAAGCTAAAACGATCCAACAGAGAAGAGGGAAGAGAAGTTACTATTTTAATGATTTGTATGCCATTTATAAAAGCTTCTATTATAACAGAACTTTACACCCTTTCTTTCCAGATTCACTCAAATGTCCATTCTGGCCATGATTTGGTTTTTAGCTGTTTATAATTATCTTTAGTGTGCATTGCCTTGAGATGGTGGTTTAGAATGTGATTAATGAATCAGTGATGATGAGGATGATGAGAGCATAAATCACAAATTGTGTCTTTTTTGTAGTGTAGCTGAGAGGAGAAGAAGCATATTTCGCTATTTCTGACAGGAATATTGTCACCTGGTGTTACACTGAGCCATGACTTAGCCAGGCATCTATTTTCATCAGCAGGGCTCAGCCCTAGCATATGAAAGGAACAAAGAAGATGTGAGCTGCATTACACTTCTCTTGGAGAAATCATCCTGATGGGCTTTTAGGTCACAGACTTCGTGACTTTCAGGGGTGCTTGGAGTACTAGCATTTCTTACGTTTCAAATTAAGAACTTTTTTTTTTTTGCAGGGGAAGCCAACATGGTGCCCTCCAGATGTTGTTTGACTCCAATTTCCATTAGCCCTTGTTGGCACAGTCAATTAGTCAGGGAAAATGGGAAGTGCAATCCAAGAGTATCTGAAGAGCACCATGTTGGCTGATTCTGAATTAGTGCATGTGACATGTGGCATTTGGAAGCCAGCTGAGCAACCCTACCCACACTGGGTGGCTGCCTGCTACTGCCTAGCAGGCAGGCTAAACTTGATATAGTGTCAATACTACTTACCCACACACACTTTGAGTAGAATTTTATGCTGAATAAAATGTTGCAGAATTAGCCTACAGGGCAGCCCTTCATACGCTGTTCCATTTTCAGATTGCAGGTGAGGGGATGCTTGTTTAACCCACATTAAAATCCTCTACATGTGAAAAAATAGCATGTCAAAAGCAAACAAAAAAATAATAAAAAACAAACAAACCAAAGCCCTACTTCCTGACATGCTAGCTGTCCACGTTCAGGTTTTCACATGGGAAATTATTCAAAGCATACAATCATCCACATATAATCTGAAGTGGAGGAGCTCTAGACAAATTCTACCATGTTATGTAGGTAGATAACATCTGGCAATGCATTTTATACTATTCAGCGCATATCCTTCTAGCATCAACAAGGTCTTGTTACTCTCTGTCAATTGCAATCTTTAAGAAGACTGATGCAAATAAACATGAGGAGGGGGGAGGATTCGCAAGAAATTTCCAATAGAAACTTACCCCTTAAAACAAATTGTTAAGTGCAGCTGCCTAAAATCCCTTTGATCACTGAAACTAAGAAATCCAATCTGCTTTAGGTCATTGAAGCTGCAGGGTTTATTTTATTTTTCCATTTCACTAAGGTTGAGCGGTGGCATCAAAGCAGTTCGTGTCACTGTTTAGTTCTCTAGTAACTTCCACTGTGTGATTATGATGAAGTAATAAAAGAAAACAACATGGTGCTCTTCATCCATCAAAAGACTATAGATCACAAGGAAAATAAAGCAATATACATTTTACAATGAAGATAGTCAACGAAAAAATGTGTGACTCTAAAGAAGAGGCAAGACAAGAGTGGACCCCCCACCCCCAGTTGTTTGCATATGATGCATGAATATACCTAACTATTTGCTGCAGAAAAAGGAGAGGCAGTAGCCCTTTTCATGTTGCTTGTGTTAAACCCCTGGTGAAGGTGCAGTGCAGGCACAAATAAGCTGCAATGCTGCATCTGTTGCTCCATCATCAATGATACAGGGTCTTCATGCCCCTGTCATCCATAGGTTAGCAAGGACATCCAAGGGGCTAGGTATCCTGATAAGGTGGAGGTGCAGAATCTCCAGATAAAGAGTCAACAGGGATGTTAAGAAATTGATTCTGGCTCATGGTGGGACTTACATGCATTTAGCACTATTTTCCTCATCTTTTTAGGAATAATGAAGTCCAGTTTTTCACTAAGGGTTCCGACATGTTCATTGAGAACCTGAACTGGGGTTTGTTAGAACTTGTGATTGGTAAGTAGCTTGAAGCAGACAGCCTTAAACTGGCTCCCTCTGGTGATATGCAGGGTTGATGAAGATTCAGAGGCAACCTTCCTCCTATTACTGACCTTTTTTGCATTGTGCAGATTCTCTTGGACCTGTAGGCTTCACCCTTCTAAAAGGTAACTCCATCCATTTTAGAATAGGGAGTTTATATTCATGTTTAGACATGGCCATAGCTCTCTTGTAGAGCATCTGCTTTGCATGCAGATGATCCCAGGTTCAGTTCCCAGCATCTCCAAATAGGCTGTGAATTGTCCCCCGTCTGAAACCTTGGTTAGCCACCATCAGTCATTGTAGACATCACTGAGCTAGATGGACCAACAGTCTGACTCAATATAAGGCAACTTCCTATCCCTCATCTCCTGGGGTTAATTATGTCTGTAGGTAGAAGTTTAAGTCATTGCTGAAATGGCTGAAGATCCGTAATGAACAGATAAAATTGTGGACTTGTGCTGTGTACACATTACCATTTACTCTGGTTCCAGTGTGCTCCCATGACTGGCGGTTGAAGCCATGTACGCATGATGCTAGCCACAATCCATCTCTCTCTTGTAATTTCTTGAGGAATATTCTCATTTGATGCGTTTTTCCTCCAAAGCAGCTTCCATCCAGTTTGAAAGCATAAGCCACATCCACTTTTCAATTAAGCCGAGATGTGTACACTTGAGACCGCCATTGCACATATGTGGATGGCAGTTTTATGAATAGGAGATGAGGGGAAGGAACCAACAGGTAATACACATTGGGTGAAGACAACCATGCCCCACTCTGGTGCGTATAGCAACATGGAAATGTAACTTGAAACACATTAGAGGTGAACTGGTCTCACTGTGTTATAAGCTGCTATTGTGTAACATGGCCTCATGCCCCTGACACTTGTCTCACATCTTAATGCTGGAGTGTGGGACCAGTGTCAGAACTTTCTAGTCAGTTAAATTCCAGAAGCCATTCAGAAGATTTGCAATGAAATCAACACAGATATAATGCTTCCTATCTATTTCTGTTTGAAGATGCAAAGTTTATTTTTTTAAAATTTATTGAATTTCTATACCTCCCTATACCCAGAGGGAAAGTGGTTGTTAAGACATCCTGATTTTAAAACTGAAATGGTGCTGTTTCTGTTGTACTCTGCTATTTAGTTGTCATCATCACTGACCTCGCTTTAGAGTACTGTAGTTTCATTATTCAAATATGTATAATTTTTCATGGTTTTTGGTGAAGTGCTGCAGAGACTACTCTTGCTCTCGCCTCCCTGAATTGCTCTCTCTCAACTTCTCCATTTATTTCTCCCAAACTGATGAAGTGCTAAATCACTTGTGATGACTCACAATTACTTTCCCTTAGCAATGAATGTCAAGCATAAAGGCATAAACAGACCCTTGAAAAGGCTATCCCAAGCTGAGACTGGATGTAATGATGCAGTACACATCAACTAATATTGCCAAGTCAGGAACACCTCATGCTCCCATTATATTGGAGCTTTCCAGATGGGAGTCTGTATCACTTCACTTACTTCCAAATATGAAAAGCTAGCACTGCTGCAACTGGAAGCGCTGTTGCTCATTGGGTCCCTTCACTTCTATCCCCAAGTCCTGCCCTAACTGGATAACGTTTCTAGGTGTGATATGAGTGGTGTTTCTTGAAGAATTTAAAATCCTTTGGGGCATTAAAAATTACTTAGCTATTGAAGGAAGCAAGAAGCAGAATGGTGCAGTAGGATATTAATCTTCAACCTGTAAAAAGGCAGGGTCAGGGGGAATGTATTTTGAAATCTGTTGACCCAGATAGCACCAAGCTGCCCAGGGCCATTTATCTGAAATATTGTCCTGCCCTATTACTGATCTGTAAATAATAGCTCACATAAGGTACAGCTGCCGTATGTTCTTGTAGTCTGGTCAGTAAGTATTGTACAAATGCCTAGCCTTGCAGAGCAGGCTGCTTGGCTCTTAACAATTATGTTTCAAGATGCATAGACCATTCACAAAGGATAATCAATGTATATAGCTTGCAGACTGTGTGTCCGTGTGTGTGTGTGTGTGTGAGAGAGAGAGAGAGAGAGAGAGAGAGAGACAGAGAGACAGAGAGAGGCATACCTGAGAGATACACACAGACTGGTGTAGAAATGTAAAAGATGTGCCTTGCAGAAAATGATTTTTTTTATTTTTAAGAGTTTGCAAATGCAATGACATAAGCATGCTAAGAGGTACCACATGTTTTTAAAATGATAGTGACATTAAGAGTTTCAGAAAGGAGAATCAATTTAGAGATGGAAAACTCTTAGCAATCAGTCTGTATTGAAACACAGATAATCAGGTAGACAATAAAAATAATGGAAGCACCATGTGGGATTAGCTGATTAGTGGATAAAATGGCAACGTGGTTGCATAAAAATGGCACAAGGCAGGAAGTGGTGTAGAATAGTACAATAGCTGCTTCCTTAAATTTAATAATACTGAAATTCAAAATCTACAGGTATGCATCTTCAGCAATTAGGGGGTTACACAGATACTTGAAACTAGTCAAACAAAAAGCCTGTTCAGAAATGGAACAATCTCCTCTCCAGTTTCCAGTGACCCTGGTTCCAATCTCAATGTATGTGCTGGGACACCTGGAGCCTCTCATCACTCAGAGACTGGTTGCTGGTAACAATCCTTTAATCCTGGGATTCAGATGGCCTGAAGTTACAAGAAGCTACCACCTTGCTGAAGCAAAAGTATATATATACTACCTCAGGTTCCAAGGTGAAACAGGCAGAATATAAAAGTAATAAAATGAAAATAAACCCTATGATATACATTTTAAGATATGGAAGCACAGAGGACATACATATCCAGCAAGATTCTTATTCTTAAAAGAAAAAAAAATCTCTTGGAAATCGCTGACTTGAGACAAAACTCTGTTACCTCCATCTGTCTTGTAAAGAAGGCTGTGACTAAGCTGATGACATGCTGTCCTGTGGCCAATTTGTATCTGTCTGACTGTTGGCTGCGGAGAACAAGGGGAGACATGGAGATTATGTGCTGGCTGTCAGTCTTCATTGCATAAAACTCTGCATCCTCAGATACCCATTCATACTTCCCAGAGGGTTGAGGAGCTAAGCTTCCATTCCTGCCTCCGCTGTTCCTTGCTATGGCTCATATCTGCTTGGAAATGGGTCACTTCTTTTATCCATGCACATATATATGTCTTTTCAACACATACCGTCAAAACAAGTAACTCCTATTTCTCTGTGCACTTTGTGAATAAGAGTTCCGCATTAATTCTGGGCAACTCAAAAATAAAAGTGAGCTCAACATTCTAAGTGATATCAGATGTTAAATATGCAAACTACAACCAACATTAATTTGCTTCCCAAAATTCATATCTGTGCATTCTGATGTTGAATATTCACCAATCTGAATATTCAGAGAGTCACTGTCTATTGTATATGTGATAACAACATTAAACATTCATTGATATTGGATTTAACAGACTTGTTGATGGCTAGCTCACGATAGTCTTTAGTTTTTGATAGCTGAAAGCTTATGGGATTTCTTAACTGGCCACAGTCAAAAGCACTTGCATTTGGAGATGAAATTGTGAATACACAACCTTAAATTTCACTTTTGAGTGCAAAATTCATTTTGGCTTTGTTGGTACCTATACTTGGGTAATAGAAGAATCACAAGTTGATGTAAAAAGTATAATCTAAGGGTGTTTTGGCAGAGTTCCAAATCCCCTTGATTAGTAGTGTATACTGAAAACTTATTAAGGATTTGTAGATTTTAGAGGGAAGCAAACATTCTCAGGAACTGAATATAAGGATTAGGATAAAATAATACAGGGATTTGATCACCATCCTTTGCATGATCAGGACATATATAGTATTTGAACTCCAGACTTATTGAACGCTAAGGAAGGCCCACTGGGACAAGCTGTCCATGCACCTTTGTTTCAGCAGTCTTGGTTGGCCTTCCATTATGCACAGTCTTCAAGATCCATGGAAGGAAACGATGGGATCTCAAGTAACACAAGAGCATTTAACTTTAAGACAGAACAGCTGGCAAAGCAGGTTTGTGTCAAGATAAGATGAACTCACTCAGGTGCTCCCAGAACAAATTGTTGAAGTTTAAGACAAATGAAAAGTGGCTGCACCTAGAAGAGCAAAATAGATGCTAGACAACATAACTCTCTTTCTTGCAGTTTGCTCTAAGCACATGTGTGTGTGTGTGTGAGAGAGAGAGAGAGCGCAAGAAGGCCACTCCATCTTCCACTTCCTTATTTAATAATATTTCTGAAGTACATCTCAAGGGAGGCACTGTTGTTGACACGTCCCTTACATTGTCAACTCTCTGAGCTGGGAAAGGCCCACTCGTCGCCTGCTCTTGCCACTCTGAGCACCATCACAGCAGAAAGAAGTCAGAGAAATTATCCTCCGCATGCTCCTGCAGCGGCCTGGCATTTCAGAAGTACACTCCAATATCTCCAAAGGTCAACTACATTCGTATTGCTCAAGCAGCACCTTGTTATGTACTTAGAAAACTAATTAGAAACAGAACTGCTACCAAGCAATTACTTGACATTCCTATGCAGCATGATCAGCTACCTTTTTGTTTTTTTTTATAAACCACTGCAAACATTACTAGTGTGGCCATAGGGTGCAGCAATCTTATGTAAGCTTACTTGGGAGTTCATAAGACTTACATCGGGAGTAAGTTTTGCTCTACAGCAAGGCCGGGATCAAATCAGCATCTGGGTTCCTTTGTATGGGCAATTATTTTTTATTTCATTAAAAAAATGTTTACCAAATATCTTTCTTAAGGATATCTGAAGGGACTCACAGCAAAGGACTCATACAGAGGACCCACATAAAACCCCAAAACAGAACATAAATAAGCTGGTTACATAAATTATATAATTTACGTGTCATTAAATTACAAAAAAGGAACACCATCTTCTAATGGTACAGAGAAAGGAAATGTAAACCATACCTTTGGGTGCTCACAGAGAGCAAATCAGGCCTCTGTTTTTCAGTGTTCAGTTCCAGGATTGCCTGGCTATTGTTTTCTTTCACACACATCTTGATGACACCACTTCTAGTCAGGGGACAGAGGAAGAAAGACATGTCCCCTTCAGCTTGCTTCCAGAAGTATCTCCAGCTGCTTAGTTTTAATGGCAACACTTTTGCCCACTCTTGCTCCATGGAAGATGGAGCATGCTTGTTTTCTCCTGCTCTGGAGGGTAAGACCTGAACCAAGGCCTTCAAGTTACAAGAAAGGAGATTCCAACTAAACATCAGGAAGAGCTTTCCTGGTAAGCTGTTCAACAGTGGAAGGCACTCCCTCAGAAGGTCTCTCCTTTCTTGGAGGCTTTAAAGCACAGGTTGGATGGCCATCTGTCATGGGTGCTCTAGTTGAGATTTCTGCACTGCAGAGGGTTGGACTAGATGACCCTTAGGGTCCCTTCCAACTATACAATTCTATGATTCTATAAAATCAGATACTTTACAGACCTGGCTAGACCATTTACTTAAGAAAGAAATTGATTTAACTATTTCAGCAGTCCCATTTTCTGCAGAAAGCCCATCTTATAGTTCCAGAATCACAGGTTTTAGAAAACCCATTAGTCTTAACCCAAACGTATTACAATGTTGTACTGCAATTAGAAAGGCAAATGCTAAATCTTCTTTTCCATGTGGATTACTGCTAGAGAAGCTGAATAATGTGTCAGACAACAAGCAGCAGCAACAGCATGCCAACAAAGATGAGTTTTCTGTATTGCCTCAAGCACCAAAATAGAAGTGTCACAGGCAGATCCAAAAATCAATGTATAATGTATAATGCATGGCTGGCACCTGATTTTAACAGAGAAAGGTATGCACAGGTGAGGACATGGCTTAGTTCTATGCAATCTCTCCTCCTGAATCACTTTCTTCTCAACTGGAAATGAACTTGCTGAGGGCAAAAGTGCTGAAGGAGAGAGAGCTGCAGTGGCCAGGAGGAGGGTTATTCATTCCTCCCCCATCTGCCCCTTTAGCTCCTTAAAATACATCCTCACCTTGACTTGTTCCATGATTGTGACAGATGCAGGTTTAAATATGTGAATCGGCCACTATCCCACTACGTTGACCGTGAGAGTCCTGTGTATCTACCTTCCTTCCACCCTGTCTCCAATCTTTCAAAAGCAATCTGCCCCTGCTTTAGGAGAGCCTGTCTCAGCAAGAACCATCTTTAATTAGTCAATCAATAAACTAAAGCAAGCACATCTCAGCTGACAAAACTCCAGATGAGCGGACCAGGGTTTTATTAGCAAAAGCAGACAGTGTCATGGCAGAGTAATTAATCAGTGTCAGGCTGAGAACAGGCTAGAACATGGCATTGTACCAAGGACCTCACAGAGCTGTAAATCACTGACTGGAAGGAATGGAACAGTGCGAGGGCAATCCCGTTCTGGTTGGAGAGTAGCTGGACACTGGACCAGGGAACTATGTGCATGTGTTTGACATCCTTCTGTCATCATGACTATCAGGGACAATCCACTGTGCATTGGACTCACTTAGAGGAGGAGGAGCCATCCTTGATGAAATAAGTGACTCTTCCTCAGGATGCTTCCATATTGCAGATATTAGTATTGTGCAGCTTGAAGCAACTGGGTGTATAAAAACTGACTCCTTTTAGAATAAAACATTGCCCAGACCATTAGATGGATTCAAAACCTTACCTGCAGAACCTTCTTCAAAAACAGAACAAAAGCATCAAAGATACATACAAATAATTCCATACAATATGTTGTGCATGTCCAGCATCTTATAAGAAATAAAAGATAATTCCAAACACACCTAGAAGCAAAGGTCTCTCTCCTTACAGCCTCCATTTTGCCAGGAGCTGTATTCACTCACCAAAATTACACATCCTTCCCCCAAAGAGCCTAGTAACAAAAGAACAGCCACCACCCTTCCAAGATAGCAATTTTGCAATTCAATAAGCTTCATGTGATTTAAAGTTAAACACCTCATCAGAGCTAGCAGGGAACAATAACAGGTTGATTATCAACCCATCTAGGAGTTCAGAGAGCTTAATATAGCCTCATGAGAAATCTCTATGTAAAAGCCTTCAGTAATACACACAGGCATTCTTCATTTCAGTGTGAATTAAATAATAATACTTAAAATTACTCTGATTCAGAAGAGGAGCCTTCCTTAGCATCTCCCCAGCCCCACAGGAGTGCCAGGTAAGGTGAGGACCCTTTTGCAGCCAGCCAGTCATCTCCTGGCTGATGTTTACTAAGTAAGTAAACCAACATAGATAAGGCTTCAGTTAGGTTCAGGTGCTTGTAGAGATAGCTCCTAGTGCAGCAAACTCTGGAGGACCCTGAGAGTTGTGGACTCCTAACTCAAGCCATTGATGGGGCACTATCTCTATAGCTCTCACAGAACAGGTTGTTCTCCATTCTTCCTGCTTTCCTCCACCTTCTGAATAGCAAATAGCTCAAATTCCTCCTTCAAGTAGATAATTCAAGTTTGGTGGTAGTAGAAAAGGAGTCACAATTCCTGTAACAATAATTTATTTCTATGGATCATGCACATCATGATCAGTACATCAGTACAGCTGGCATATGTATAATTTAAACTTACTCCCCATGAACTATCTGTGAACCTGGTGAAAGCTCCTTTCTCCTATGTGACCTGTACAGAACAGCTAACCTCCTGACCCTAACAGTTGCAGAAAGGATCACAGCACTAATCCTTGTATTTGCCAGAAAGATCTAATTGTCAACCTCCTGTAGGCAGGAACCAGACTTCACACAAATGAAAATCTCTTTTTAAAGTAAACTTATGATGCAGGAACTGTAAAGACAAAGATATGGTCTCCTGTCACTACAGTACCATCAGGTGTAATTTTCTGTTCTATCTATGCTGCTCCAACTTGTAAACGGTCCTGAGCATGTAGGATTTCAACCTCCAAAAGCTACAGGTTTATTTCCTGCTTTGAAAGTATCAGTACAAATATGTTGTTGTTGTTGTTTAAAAATGGTACTGTGACTCCATCAGGAACTGGAACTGGGAATCAGATTTCTGAGATCATGAGATCACCCTGCACCCAATTCCTTAAAGATACTCCTCTTATACACAAAGAGAGAAAATTTCCAGACAAGGTCCTGCTATTTTTTTGGTGGGGGAGGAAGATGTTCCTAGGAAGAAAAACAACACCAACTGGGCTGCTTTATCACCTTCAGCTTCCATCTGTCCTGGATGCTTCTGTTGTGTATGCTTTAGCTGAGATTCCTGCGTTGCATGGGGTTGGACTGGATGACCCTTGGGATCCCCTTCAACTCTACAATTCTATGATTCTATAACTTAGGAAATACCTTAAGACAAACCCTGTGGCTCAAAGCAGTCTGTAACATCCTTGTTTTTATCCCTTGAAGGCTCAGTAACAAGCAGATCACATGCTAAAGCAACCTGTAAGAATATCATAATTTTGGGGCAGGGGCAGGCGAGGGAATGAAGGATATTTTCTTAGAAAACACAGAGGGAGATCTGAGGGAGGGAAAGAAGCTGAGAACCAGAGCATAACATCAAAGAACATAGTTCCCATATTGTCTTTGATCGTGACTCTTCCCCACAAGGCAGTAATGTTCATTGCTAACTCGACTTAGGTTTGCATTGGATGTGGGATTGTACCAAGGCTAGGATTCAATCATTTCTGTCTGGAAGGAGTGAGCATGCTGTGTTGAAACTTTGTTTTGTTTTATATGTAGCCTTGGGGGTATTATGCGCCAGGTTGTCTAGTGTGCCAAGGAGAACATGATCAGAATAACATTAGGATGCTTTCCATGCATTGATTTCTGAAGAGGGCTGGAAGGTAGATCTCAAGAAAGCAGGGAATATGTTAAAATTATGGGGCAACTTACATAAAATAAGAAAACAGCAAAAGAGACATCACAGAGCTTTGTAGACCACAGAAGGACTTGAATGTTGGAAACAGAATCCATTACAACAAAAACAGGAAAGATCAAAGGAACTTGGCATTCTAATCTTACAGGAGAGAAAACTAAGAGGGGAAACAACCTTTTCCATGTATGTAATAGAGTGTTAAAAGAAGAATTGTGGACAAGTGCCAGGTTGCCCTGAGGGCAAGGCCAGTGTGGAATCTCCCACTTACATCTGCAACCACCTCTCAGTTTCATCCTAGCTCCTGAAGAAGAGGAACTCAATGGGAGTTGTGGGTTAATTTTCTGCCTGTGATGAAGCAACTACCAGCTAATTCCCCAGTTACCATTGTAGAAGTTCAGCCTGTTTCTTCTTTACCTCCCTTTGTATATATGGAGTATATAGTGTTGTTGTATATAGTGTCAAAAAGTGCAGGCCAACACACAGGGGAAAGATTGTGCAGTCCAACACACAAGGGAAACATTGTCAAAATATAGTGTGAAAACCCAGATTTCAAACTGGGAAGCTATTAAGATCAAGGATGGATATATAAGGGGGTGAACAGATAGAATGAATAAGAAGAAGCAAAAGAGTGCACCATCTATAATATCTAGTCCAGACAATCTTAAAGAGGAATCTCAGAATTACAGTACTTGTGAAGAGAAAGGCTCATCCATGACATTCAGTAGATGACAACTTCTCATTCCCCCTCTAGTCCTGTGGAGTCAGCATATGGGGTTGATGGATTGGGGGAGGGTAACCCCATCAGGGATGGTCATGTGAGTATGATATACCTTAATGGAAGAGATTAGGACATGGCAGGTCCAGCAGGCAGGTAAGGAGCACCCAGAGAGATGAGCCACCACGCCTCCACAATCCAGGAAAGAAAACTTTTGAGAGATTTCAAATAAGACAGAACCAACCAGCCTGTGTGCATGGAAGATGCTCAAAACACGACAGCTAGGGATGCAGTCCTAACCATGTCTGCTCAGAAGTAAGTCCCACTTTGAGGGAATCATCTCCATGTAAGTGGGGATAAGAATGCCACCTAGGCTGCTATGTAATGGGGAACTAGGCCATTTTGCAAAGTACATTGCTGACAGGTAAGTATTTTATTCTTAAGCCTCTCTCAATGATGGTTACTTGTAGTCTCATTTACATCAAGTAATGTTCATGGAAGAGATTGTCATTTTCTCCAAATGAGCCTCCTAACACCTCTGGCAAGGGTAGCCAACATGGTGCCCTCCCCATGTTGTTGGACTCCAACTCCCATCAGCCCCAGTCAACATGGCCAATGGTCAGGCATGGTTGGAACTGCAATCCAGGAACATCTGAAGGGCGCCATGTTTGTTACTGCTGTGCTAGAGGAAAACATCTGATGGGGAGAAAAGAAGAACAAAATAGGTGGGCAAACTCCCTCCTAGAAGTGTTTAAGAAAAGAGCAGAAAGATCAGTTGTAATAGGTTCAACTCCACCCATGACTACACTGCACAAATGCAATAATAATTTTTTTTTTAAAGAAAATGAGATGAAACAAGTAATTCAACCTAACCGCTCCCCCAGATCCGGAGTGGGGGGTGGGGAGAGAGAGAGAGAGAGAGAGAGAGAGAGAGAGAGAAATTAACTAATTCCAGGATCCTGAGGCTATAAAAGTGAATAACTAATTCAAGGGCTAATCTTTCTTACAGCTACATACTTACACCTCGGCTACCCACCTGAGAAGTTTGTACTTTGTATTTAGCTGATTTACCTATTTGCTTGATTGGCCCCCTCCCCACATACATGAACTGTACTTCTTAAAGAACATCTTTAGTAACACCTGATAGGTTCGATGGTAAAAGAAAAGGGAAAGAAGGTTAAGACCAAGTAAAGGGTCTGTAGTGCAGAGAAGTAGGACATTTTCTGAACAAGGTTTAATTCTCTTGAGTTGCTTGACAGCTGAGTCATGACCGAAACTGATAATTTGTAGCTTGTGCATGTGAGATGTAGGCAGAGTCTGTTATTAGAAACCTTTGCAGCCCTCATCTCCTATTAATTAGAGATTTCATAATGGAAAATTCTCGTTTTCTTGTGAGAGTCAGACTAGCCAGAATCTTGGCAGGTCACCCAGTCAACAACAGTTGTACATTAAACATTGCTAATTCAGAAAGAAAGAAAGAAAGAAAGAAAGAAAGAAAGAAAGAAAGAAAGAAAGAAAGAAAAGATCTATGTAATTACAAAGTTTCTTCATTACTCACTGCAACTCTCTTGCATATAAACAACAGTCATTCTCTAGCTTGGGTTTCTGAAGCAGATAGTTATTAGGTAGAAGGACTGTTGGATTAAAAAAATAAAAATCAATCCCTGTCTTTTCCAGAGAATGTTTTCCTCCTGTACATTTCCTTTCCCTTGTGAGCAACTTTGATTGGTTATCTCTCATTTCCATACAAAGGTAATAATAAAGGAACTTTTTTGTCTTCTTTTGTTTATTAGAAAGTCATTAAATGTTCCCAAGAGTCAGATTTTCTTGGAAAGTATCTGGGTTGTTTTGTTTTGTTTGCAGTTTTTAGGAGATGAAAAGCACAAATAATGCTGAGAGCGCAGTAAAGCATAGTTCACTTCTTATTTCCTTCAAAATCAGTTTAAAAGAAATCTACCTGGATTAGCACCTCTGTCCAACCAAAGGTTCCTGCTGCAACCCATTCTGTGTTTAACTCAGTGAAATCTACTTCTGGCTCAGTTTTGTAGAGCAATATCTGTGCACAGCAGTACATGTGAAAGGGTTCTTCTACATCTCAGCTGAACGTGAAGTAGCACTGCAATGT